TTTTTCTTGTAGGAAATACAGCACAAAGACAAGTCCACAAAGAAAATTGGACAATATTCACTAACTAGTTTCCTTCTTTCATGTTTTTAACTGTTTTCTTTTTTGATTTACTCCGACGATGAGGCTTGTATCAGTAGAAATCAGATCAGCCCATCTTCTAAATAAAAGATGAATCATTCTGCTAATTCCAACTTTTACTTTTCAATATTCATCACCTGTCGAAAACAAATACTTTTTAAATAGTGTGCTTGTAGATTTAATTTCGCCGATAGATAGGTTTCATGTTTATTCTCTCAAAATTAGACGTTCATTGGGGTTCTGACATATGAAATAAAAAACATTCGAGATTGAGTTTCTCGTTAAAATCAAGCTTACATAATGAAAGGGTTTGAGAATGTAAAAAATTGTTTAAAAAACGATTTTTCAGATCCAGTTACTCAAGTCCAAGCGGATACATCGAATCCTGTCGGATGGAGTTTAAATTTTTTGCACTACGGATAATCGGATTCAATCGATTACTTCTTGCTGAATTTGTGTGTGAGTGTGACTATTCTCTATCCATCAAACTTACACCCACACCTACCTCGAATATACGCAAATGTATAAATGATAAGGCCCTATAGTGGTGCTTCGACTTTATATATACGTCAATCGTCGAAGTAGAACGAATATACGACAAAAAATAAAAAACGTAATTTTTTTCCAGGAATAAAGAGCAACAAGTGTCCTTTTTTCTCACAGCGAGAGAGTATCTATGACGTTTTTTTAATTCATTTCGCACACAATGGCCTATTTGATTTCAGACTGAATTTAAAAGAAAAAAAGGCAGTTAGTACAATATTTGGAGGATTAAAATGTGAAACACGATATAGATGTTATAACTAATGGCGAGGAGGTGTATTTGACTGTAGATATAAAGCTATCACTTGGACACTGAAAAACCGTAGAAGAGGCGTAGGTGAACTAAACTAATAAATTTTATCGTCTGAGAAAGACAAAGAGGAATTTTGCCACGACTCACCATTCTCTTCATATTCGTATGTGTTTTATTTTCGTTTTTGGATGCACCAAATTCAATTCCAGTCAAATACAAATCTTGAATTTGTGCGGATTTGAAAATAGTTGGAGGGTGTGGATGTGAAAGATGGACAGCACACCCACACCCAGACCCACCTATACCCTCAAGATGGTTTGATCTTTTATATAGACATGCAACACGTGTAGTTATACAATTTAACCGCTATTGTTTCACAAAGTATTTCTGAAATAATGGAATATTAGTATTGATTCATGTATAACTGGGTTGTAAAGAAGAATAAATGAAAGAAATAAGTCCTCGTCTATAATGATTTACGAAAAATAGTTACGTATTCTTACAGCGTGAAACTATCTGGAGCGTAGAGATAAAGATAAACATAATGAATGAAAATCATTAGAAATGTTTTTGTTTATAAAAAATTATTTCTCGTTTAACAAAAAAAAGGCATTATATTATTTAGGTTTTTTAAATCCTTTGCCATCATCTGGTGTATAAGTAGTATTAATGCGTAGACCTATTCCTCGATCACTAACATACGCACCGCCGAGTTGACCATTAACATTGCCAGTATGTATACGTGTAACACCATCTGGTTGAGTATCTGTTCCAAGAAAAGAGCGTTCACTAGTTGGCTGTGTCGTGCTTACCATAGTCTTAAAATGATAAGCGTTGTCTTCAGTTAGTCTCATCGGATCATTCTGAGAACGAGATTGACAATGATTGATAGCGGTCTTGCTGAGGCCAACACCTGTACGATTCTCGTGACTATATGGATGATCGGGTATGTATGATGATGGTTCTATAGTAGGCGATCCCCATGCTTGTCTTCCAGTTGATTTATTACCACTTGCTTCGTAATTACTTTGATTATTTGCCATTAGTTCTAAATAAGAAAAGATATTTATCATTTTTGTCTGATTTTCTTAGTGTTCGAACATTATAAATAATTTATTTAAAAAAAAATGTCTCTCTGAAAAAATAGTTAATATGCTATAAGTATATTATTTGAAAGAATAACTCAAAAGAAAGAATTCTCTTTTTCCTTTTATCTTGGCTGCTATACCTTCTATCATAATTCCCTATCATAGATAAGATCAGTTAAAACGCTGCTTTTCTCCTGTCTTGGTTGAGGCATTTACGATATTTCTGGATGAATAAACAATGTATATCCAGTCTTCTGTATTTCTATCATGAATTTCTTATGTTATGAATCATTACCATTTAAATTGGCAATAATAGATTATCTAATGTAAATTAAAAAAACGAAGTTTATGCTACAAAGATATAATTAATAAAAGAGATATAGCCAATTTTTCACCTTAGAATATTGTCTTGTTAAATAAAGATTACCCACGTGTAGAATGATTATACGATGTAAGCGCTGTTTTTGCTTTTTTATATATGTGACTATTTGTTGGCTGGAAAAAAATTTGTGACATTTGGGAAAAAATCTTTTTTTCTGTTCTTGAAAGATATTGTGATAAAACATCGTGTAAGAGTGTGTTCTTTTACCTTTTATTAACTGACGATTACACTTACAATGATAACAAAAAGGAGAAATCCATCCAACAATATAGGATAAAACAGCAAAAGAAGACAAAGGGTGTGGATATTGCCTTTCATTACCCACTCTCATCCCCTCCTTTTCACTATCGTCTGTTTTATTCTTTTGATAAATTCTTCCGTCATATTAAAACTCGGTTATTTTCAATGAAAAAAGGATTCAACATATTTTTTCCAAGTTATTATGCCATTGCATACATGGAACTTTGGCATTGTCTTTCTCTTTATTTTCCTTTGTCTATACTCTGATGTTTTTATTAAATAAATGGGCCTTCTTATCGCTGATATGACTGCCACATCATTCGCATTTCTCTTGTAGGATTTGTGCTTGAGGGTGTGGATGTGGGTGTCGGTAAGGATACGGATGTATCTGTTAAACGTACCATACCCACACCCACACCCACACCCACACTCACACCCACACCCACACCCACACCCACACCCACACCCACACCCACAC